GGGGGGGCGCGCGGTGGGTGAAAAAGGCGCCATGAGGTGGGCGAGAGGGGAAGAGGCGTCATGAGGTGGTGGGGGAAGAGGCGCCATGAGGTGAGGGGGGGAAGAGGCACCATGAGGTGGGCGAGGAGGGAAGAGGCGTCATGAGGCAAGGGGGGGAAGAGGCACCATGAGGTGGGCGAGGGGGGAAGAGGCGTCATGAGGCAAGGCGGGGAAGAGGCGCCATGAGGTGGTCGAGGGGGAAAGAGGGGTCATGAGGCGAGGGGGGGAAGAGGCGTCATGAGGTGGGCAAGAGGGGAAGAGGCGTCATGAGGTGGTGGGGGAAGAGGCGCCATGAGGCGAGGGCGTGCAGCCGAGCGGGAAGTGGTCCCTGTGGGGGCTCTTCCCCAAACCACCAGCTCTTCCCTCCTGGGAAGCAGCTGGCAGGGTAGAGGAAGGGGATGTTGACAGCGTTTCCCTCCTCATGGCCACCGTGCATAGCCACAGCACTCCCAAAACCTTCCACCAAGATCCCTCCCAACCGTTGTTTCTCCAGGAACAAGCGTGAAGCAAACAGCCTTTAAACCTCATAATTTAATTTGATTCATTGCAGTCACATTGTACAAAGCGATATTTTGTGCAAATTATTCGCAGTTGTGGGCCACACTTTCACATGCTTTCACCGGCAGGTAACCTCCGCAGTGAGAAGCTCCATCACAGTATTGTGGCTACCAACGTGGGGACACGAACGGATCAGTTCAGTGCAGCCCGAAAGACAAGTCAACTCAGTCAGAAAAAGAAAAATCACTCAGTTATACAGTAGGGATGGTGACTTTGTAGGATTAAGATAACAAAACAGAATCTAGCCCTAAGCTACTAGGCTTTGAATTTATGTTCTGTTCATCTAGTCATTCACTTGCCTTATTAAAAATAAAAATTAAAAAAAAATGAAAAATTGCAAATTCCTGTTTCTTGAGACTAATTTCCGAAAAGAGTTATTTTGTGGCACCGCAAGGACAGTCGGTCAGAACTACGGCACGTGCGTTTCCTCTGTAGTTAGGGGCAAGTTCCCGTTAGGGGGAATGCGCTGGGTCCAATGCAGAACCGCGCAGGGGGCAGCGGTACGCGCTGTACGGACGCTGCGGCTCCGCCGGCACGGAGCCAGCAGATGGGCAGCTTAACCCTCTGATCATTGACCTTGGTGCTGCTAAGACCAGGGAAGACAGCACTGCCATTGCCAGGACCCGCTATCAGCCAATGAAACAAGGGAATTCCTGCAAATCAAGGGAATGATGCATGGCGAGGGAGGCCTTGTCACTTGAGCCGTCCCTGTGGCACCTACAAAGCCCGAGTCAAGCAGGAAGGGAGGGGATGGCACACCTTATTTTAGCACGCTTTCTCACTCATTTCTTACTCATCTACATCCTACGCCCATCTCAACCCGTCCTCAATGCAACACGTCACTAGACCAGTTCTGCCAGGACAAAAGCAAAATGTGCAGAAGATGCAGGTGCTGAGATCACCATGGGTGACTGCACAAAGGGTTTGGCTTTCTGCATGGCAGCACCCACGTCCGCTCAACACGCCGCACCAAGAGCTCCCTGCGCGGCACCGCTGCCCGCAGCACTGCACCGGGGGACATCCCTGAGCCACCAGCACGGCTGGCCTCCAAAAGAGGTTTTGCTCCCTCACCTTCACAGTGGCCAAGAGGAGCCCGCAGAGCCGAGCTGCTCCCAGGCCCTTTCCCGCACGAGGGTCCACACTCCTCCTCTGCCCACGTGCAGCCCCTTGCACCACCCTCTCCAAACCAGCAAACTCCTCTCTAGTGTACATGAAGACACTGGCTTCCTACCAGTCAGGAAGCACAGCAGCAGAAAGCAAAAAGTCCAAACAAGGCGACTTTCTGGAGTCTGGGGGCACCTGCAAAGCCACTGCCCACGCTGGGCTGCCAGGACGTTTCCACAGCCTGAGCACGTGCCCGTGGACAAGCCCCACTGACGCCGTGAAACGCCCGTCCTGTCACCTCAGCCCAGCAACCTCCTCAGCCACTTCCTAGGAAGAGTTGAGTCACTGAAGAGGCAAGAAGCCTTCAGCAAAGCAGGAAGAGAAAAGCTTTGATAAGATAAGGAGACCACAAGATTAGCTTTAGTACCAACAGGAAGATTCAGAATAGTAGTCCTCTTAAATAAGACATTTAAATATTTTTCTCCAGTGAAATACCAATTTAGATGGATTACTATTTGCACAGCAGCTCGGGTTTGCCCTGAAGTGAAAACTGGAGCAAACACTTCTGTGTGACTAT